GCAGAATATGTGGATTGATGTTGACTTGAATCTTAGTTTTGTTGTCATGGCAACCTAGTTAAACACACCTAATCTGAAGTACAGTTATGTAGGCTTAATTATGAATCATAAAGCTAGACCGAATAAACCGACTAAGCGGCCGGAAAAGCGACTGATGAAATGCAGATAATAATCAGAAATGGTGAAGCAGAGGAGTAAAGACGAAATGCATTGTAAGAGATCGAGATAAAAATAAAAAAATGTGCGAAAACTAGGTCAAGAAGGTGATCCTGTTTATTTGGTTATAACGGCAGTTTATAAAAATAACTGATCGGACCACCTCATTTCTTTGTGATTCCGACCAAGAATGCAAATTCCATTTTAACCAGCAATTTGGATTTACAGAGGACAGATTCATTCTGGAATAAGAGAGTACATTCTCAGGGTCGAGTCGCTGATCTCGTTCGGCTTAACTCCTACCGAGACGATTTCGTCGGTTCGTCTCTTTGCCGCCCTAAATACTGTCCCTCGTCTGGAGGAATACATCAACCACGACGATGAGCCGGATTTTACTCGCTCTCGGGGGCTGTGGTCAAATCACATTTTAGCTGATCCCAATCAATCCGACTCTGGTTCGTACCCATAATGCCTAGTTTGCAATAATATCAGTAGGTCTTGAATAATAACTGTAGACACCGTAGTTTGGCATTTTCTTTCAATATTATGCATAGGCCATTGAGATAAAGAGTAAGATGGGCTTAGTCAAATAGTGTGTTGGTATGACCTCATCTTGGAAACTTGGCTGAGACGACATGAAAAGACCTCGTGGAATGTTGCCTCTGCCACAGCATTCATGCTGATTTCCAGCTTAACTTTGCGTCACATTCTCATAAAGCGGTATCTTCTAGCCTTAATTCTAGGTCGTGGAATCACATCTTCTACATAACCTTCCTAGTACTTACGTTTTGTCCAATAACTTCCTTGTATGTGACTATTCAAGTAGGTCCAATAAGGCTAAGTCAAGTTTCCACAGGGAATTTTAGGGAAGTAAACAGAAGTGGGAGGAGTATAATGTGGCTAAAGAATAGAAAAAATAATAATGTCCACGAGGATTAAGGCATCTTCAAATTTAGTTCATCGACACTGCCAGGGTGGAACATTGATTTGAAAATTTACATATTTCCTGCCAACCTTTGGTACGAATTGCAGCGTGGCAAAGTGATTAAGGTGTCGAGACCAAACGGTGCACTATTACAAGCGGATAAGGCCAATTCAAGCGAGATCGAAACTGCATTCGTCGCTTTTTTGCCGAAAACACCTTCCCCCCAGTTTCTTCCTCGCAATCCCTTTTCTTCCTGTTAGTGGTAGATCCTTGATCCGGGCGTCTCCTTTCTGCTGGTCCTGCTCCATTCTGGTTTTCCCAGAGTTTGCTTATGCAGTAGACAAAGTTATCGCTAACTCTACGTTCCTCCAATCTCCCGTTCAGTAAGTTGTTCGCCGCAAGGATGTCAACGGCCTCCCTAATCTTGCGCTTCCTTGTGTTGTCCCCGTATGGAGCTCTTCTTTC